TATTGGGACACATCGTACGTATCTTATATGTGATCTAAACTCATGATTTGCGCTTAGTGGTGATACGGAGTCCGACTAATTTCTATGTATAGGGTTCCGTTGCAACCAACATGCATATTTGCAAATTAATATTAAAGAGGAAAATTTTCCTCCCATCTTGTGTCCATCTCCTCTTAACTACCCCAACAATGGAGAGTTTCTTCCGTCCCACTTTTTTTTACCTCTCAAAACTGAACTCATGCCATCCTTGTCTTGTATGTGACCCCGACTCATGACCCATACTCATGAGTTAGGACAACTCGTGTCTAGCAGTGATGAATACTGAGTATGATTCCAGTACCTATTGGGTTACGTCCTACTTATCTCGTATATGATCTACACTCATGACCCGCGCTTATACAAGTTAGAATAACTCATGTCTAGCAATGATAGGGAGTTCGATTCCTATACGTATTGGGTTGCTTGGCAACGCACAGGCACGTTTCCTAGTGAACCTTAATAAGATTAGCATTTCAGTGTCGGTAGACATTTTAGGCTCGGGGCCTTACGGATGAGTACTTTTATTTTATCGGATACCTTCTATCTTGTATCTTAGGAATTCTAGGTTATGTCATGGGTAAACAAAAAGCATATATGTAACCACATCTTAATCATGGGTAGCTATTATAATGACTATATTTGGGTTAGTGAAAGATATTAATGGTAGATATGTAGGTGCTGCCTTTTTTTTAGACCCTACTGACAAGTTATTTGCATAGTCTCTTCGGATCTTAAATGCCCAGATATTATGTTCTAAATTATAAGGGCGGTTCCATGACTAAAGCTCAGTCACCACATTTTAGCCTTTTTTAGTCCCTAAAATGTCAAATAGGCTGACTAAAAGGTGACTAAAGAGGAAATAAAAAAAAGATGACTAAAGGGAATTAGTCCTTTAGTCCCTCGGTAATGCTGGGAAGCGGACGTTCGTCTGCCGGGACGCTCCGTTAGTGGGCTGCGACGCCAGGTCCAAGACCCCCCGCTCCTCCGTTTCTTCTAAATAAAATAATCCGCTCGTCCACGTACTCGTTCCTATCCGCTCACTTGCTCCTTTTCTCTCGCCTGCTGCCTCCTCAGCCGCACATACTCATTCATATCCGCTCATTTGCTCCAATCCGCTCGCCTGCTGCCTCTAGCGCTCGACCGCAGGCCTAGCCAGGCGCGGCGTGTGATCGCCTCTGAGGCGCAGCGCTCGGCCTCCGGCCCTGCTAGGTGCGACACGCGGCCGCCTCTAAGTCACGATGCTCGGCTACCGGCCTTGCCAGGCGCGGCGCGCGGCTGCCCTCTCTAGTTGTGCAGCCGCTGTCTCCCTGCAGCATCGCGCGGCGATGCCTCCTTTCCACGTCGTGCAGACGCCACCGTCAGCGTGCCACCTACAAGCATCGCCAGGCTATTGGCTCCAGTGAACTCCACACGCCGACGAGCCTCCATTCTCCCAAGCAGCAAGGAGATGTTGCACTGAAAGCGCATGTTGCAAGCGTACATTTCAATTGTTTCAGATATTTCAGAGGTATGTTGCAAGTATTTCATGTGGATGTTGCAAAAGTAGATCGGGATATTGCATATGCTGCAGCGGTTGTACATGTATGTTGCAAGCATCTGTTTCAAATATTTCATCTGTTTTTTCACATGTATATTGCAAATGTGTTTCTTTGGATGTTGCATATGTTTCACACATGTTGCAAGTGTCTTATCTGGATATTGCATATGTTTTGCAATGGTTTTTTCAAGTGTTTCATATATTATTTGCAAGTGTTTCAGACGCATGTTTCAAGTGTTTCATCTGTCTTCAGACGCATGTTGAAAATGTTTCATCTGGAAGTTTCAAAAGTAGATCGGGTGTTGCTGTTGGGGACTCGCCAGCAGCAGCCGCCAGCTACAGGGCGCTGTCGAGCGGGCAAAGATGTCCAGGCGAGGGAAGCTGAGGGGGCGCGAGCGGTCCTCGTGTGGGGTCGAGTGGCATGAGCGATGTTCTAGTGGCGCAGGCCCACGTGTACACGCGAAACAGAGTGCAGGCGCAAGGCCGTTCGGACGTCCGGGCGCTAGCACTATCGTTAGTCCCTTGGGGTGACTAAAGGGGACTAAAATAGCCAAAAGACACCCATTACCCCTCGTTAATGCACCAGCGCCCGCCTCCTCGTATGATTCCTCATCCTCTTGGTCGGTGAAGGAGGCCCGCTCGGCGTCGAGTTCCTGCCGCAGGCCCCGTGCTGCGTCCTCCGCATCCTCCTCCCTGCGCGTCCGGGCCGCCGCCCCCTCCAGCCCCTCCACCGGCCGGATCATCTCCTCCGCCGCAGCCACCTCCCATGTTCCTGGACCCATGTTCCTGAACCCAGACTCATCTTAGGCGACAGCTCCGGCGATCGCGCCTTCTCAGATCGTCCCCGGCTTCAGGGACCGCCACGACAGCGACTGGGTCCGCAACCGGATCCATGGAGGCATGGCTGCGTCACGACCGTCGCCATGGCCGAGTCCAGCTCGAGCTCCTGATCTGCATCACCAACGGTGCAAGTCTCCATCACCGGTGGCGGCTTGGGTCTCCAACTGCCGATGGCGGGCGGTGCTGGTGGTGCGGCACAGCGAGGAAGGCGTCGAGCATGGTGGCGGCCTCCATGGAGGCGGGCACATGGATTGGATTGGCCGGGCGGACCTGGTGGGGAAGAGAGCTGAGCAGGGGCGTTTTGGTCTTTGTTCATCAGCTTTAACGATCATTAGTTCATGGATCCAAACTCAACTTTAGTCGAGGGACTAAAGGAACCAAACAGACCCTAAGTCATTTAGTTTTCTAGGTACATAATTTTTGCTATATATTTAGACATAGCGTATATTTATATTCATAGTAAAATTATATATTTATATACATAGTAAAAGCTAAGTATTCAGAAAAGATAAAACGATTTATAATTTAAATCGTAGCAAAGCTCCTCTCATCTTGTCTCGTCTGGCAAGAACATGAAACCAATCAAGATGTATGGTTCCTTTGTTTACCTGTCTCATTTCCCATGGAAGTAATATTCTTCTTGATGGCTTGGGGTGTCTATAAACACGACCGTACATTCACCTCTATAAACACACATGTATACCCTACTCTTATGAACTCCTTTAAAGTACTTAGTTGTACGTTCACTCTATGAACACGTATCTACGTTCTATCTCTATGAGCACCTTCGAAGAACTTAGTTGGACCATATTGATGGCATGTCGTCTACCACTGAAAATAGTATCGTTAAATCAGTGCAGGCACAGACTCCCACAAAAACGAGTGTATATGCTCACCTCTATGGACACACGTATACACTACCCATATAAAGCACCTTAGCTTCGAAGGACTTAGTTGGACTAGCTTGACGTGCACGTCGTCTGCCACCAAAAAAATAGAATAAATCAAGGTTGAGGACTTGAACCTAGATGGATATGCTCCACCACATAGACCTAACCGAGTGAGCTACACTCGCAATGCGAAAGGCAGGCACTCATCATGCTCTCTCTGTCTCAAAATATTTGATGTTTTAGGTTTGGACATGAGATTTGTGAGTAAAGATATGTGGTACAAAAAAACCAAGGAGAGAGATAAATGTAGAGATGTATAGAGAAAAAATGTATATTGGAAGAAGAGAAATGTATATTGGAAAGTAAAAATGATAATTATTTTAGAACAAATTTGAATCCTAAAACATTGTTAGGATGGAGGGAGCATGTAAGTTACTCCATCCGTCCCAAAATAAATACATGTGTAGCATCCAAAATTTTTCTTTTTTACTTTTTCTATTCCTAAAGTGTAATTATTGTATGCTCCAATAAATTTTGATAGGGGTATAAATGTAATTTCTGTAGTAGCATGGGTCTTTTTTTAGGGAGAACTAGTAGCATGGGTCCTGACACAAATCTTAGAGGTGTATCTATATTTATTTTGGGACCAAGGATTATATCATTTCCCGTCTTCGTGAGGAGTGAAACGAAAATTAAATCACCATTCACAGTCATCCCGCGCCCCCTGCCCCCCCGGAAAACGAAATCTGGAGTCCCCGGTGTCTTGGTCCATTGGTAGATAACTCGATACGCCGCCATGAATCCTCCTGGGGCGCTCCGGTGCTGCAGAATTCGAGTCCCAGGAGGTGAACGCGGAGCCACGATGGCGGCGGCGGCTGGCTGATTCCTCAGCGCAGGCTTTGTGTGGCGGCCGCGGGCTGTTTCCACCTCAAGTATGGATGCAAGTTGATTTCTTTGAAATTTGCTTTCCTTTTACCTCTGAGACATCGATTGGAGCTTTGTTTTGGTTTCTCTGAAACTTTCCCCAAATTCACTTGAAGGCTTTTTGAAGTTGCCCTATGAAATGGTTGACACTTGCCTGAAACTCCAAAAACTTCCTCCGATGCATGAAAAATTGCCGAAACACGCTTGAAATTCATCAGCAGCCTTAACACCTTGGATTAATTAGTCGCTGTTGAACCTTATGTAAATAAAATTAGTGCTTTCTGTTTTAAACCACCTTAGATATCGAAGTTTCAGTTAGTTTTATTTTTAAAAACTGCCTATTAGCTCTCATATTAAGGAGGTGTTGCATTTTCTGGCCTACTAATTTTTGAGAGAACAAGCTGTATACTGTGAAAATCTGTAATACTAGTGCCTTTGTTTGTTCATATCATATTAGGTCTGGTGTAATGAGTAATGCGGAGTTGTCATTCAGACAACGTGTTATATGTTACACTGCAAGTTTACACTGTGGCAGGTTAGGATTCATCGAGGTTTACAACGTGTTTTGTTCAGCTAGGCATTATAATTCCCTATAAGAATAGTTTTCTTTCTTCCTTTTCAATAGCATAGTTTTCTGGATCGTTTGAAAAACAAAAAATCTTTTTCATATTTTAAGGTTACTTGAGTAGCAAAGAATAGTAACATTACTGGACCTTGTTATGCAGGCAAGCAACCGCCCATAGCATTCCTATCACTGTGCTTGGTTGCGCATGGATCACCAAGGGGACAATCTTAGAGATTTCTTTCAAACTAATGGGTGTCAGGTGCTTCAAAGAGTGGAAAACAACTACAGCTTGAAATATTTCACAGAAAATGAGATACGAAACATAACTGATGGGTATAAATCTGTTCTTGGAAAAGGGGGATTTGGTGAGGTCTACAAAGGAACGCTAGAAGACCAAACCTCAGTCGCTGTAAAGAGATATATACATGGGACCCACAAAGAGGTGTTTGCCAAGGAGGTGATAGTGCACTCTCAAATAAACCACAAGAATGTTGTCAGACTCGTGGGCTGCTGCACAGAAGAAAATTCTCTAATGATTGTCATGGAGTTTATCTCTAATGGGAACCTCGACAGCATACTTCATGGCAACAGCACTAACAGTTGGGTTCCCTTCCCTTTGGACAAAAGAATAAAAATTGCCATTGAGGTTGCTGAAGTATTGGGGTGCATGCATTCCATGTATAGTCCTGTTCTTCATGGTGACATCAAACCTGCTAACATACTGCTAGACGAAAATCTTACACCAAAGATATCAGATTTTGGAATTGCAAGACTCCTTTGTGCTAATGGGCCTCAGAAAACTACCACTATCATTGGTACCATAGGTTACATTGATCCAGCATACTGTGAGAGTGGAATTCTAACCCCAAAGAGTGATGTTTATAGCTTTGGGGTGGTTTTGCTGGAAATTGTCACAAGAAAGAAAGTAGTTGATGCAACCCTTGCTCAAAGTTTCAATGAGGCCATTACAAGGGTAGAGGATGTACAGCACATGTTCGACAGTGCTACAGAAAACATGAAGTTTCTTGGAGACATTGGACAGTTAGCAGCTAAATGCTTGCGGAGGGATGCCATAACACGTCCTGAAATGGTTGAAGTAGCTACTAGTCTAAGGATGATCAGGAAAGCTATGCAGAGAGAGCAGGATGTACTGTTAGCAGCATACCAACTTGGAGATCTAAAAATTTTCAATAAAACCGAAATGAATGACAAAAAACTACCACATGGCCTTTAGCAAAACGATGCGTGAATGTCTCTACAATGGAGTCCTCGGCATGAATCATCCAATTATAGTAAGACTACTTAAGGCAAGTTCAGAAACTGACAGAGAGATATTTCTGAACACTATGAGCATATTGAGTCAAAAGAATCACAAAAATGTTGCAAATGTTGTTGGCTTCCACTTAGGGAAATCCAGTTTAGAGTGTGTATACGAGTCTTGCTGTGATCTATCCAAGACAATGTTTGGCTCTATATCGTCGTCTAACAGAAACCTTTATGACACTATCTGCTCCATGGAAAAACTTCATCTTCAACAACGCCTATTGATAGCAGTCCAGTGTGCAGAGGGCCTGGTTCATATCCATTCATTAGCAGCTGAAAATCCTGATTCATGTGGCACCAGCCTCTTAGGAAACTTCAGATCTGCCAATATATTTCTGGACAAGAATTTTGTGCCAAAAATCTTCAATGCGAACTTGTCAACATTTCTTGGACTTTCTGTTGCACAGAAAAATACGGTGTTTCCTATTCATGACAATGGACCAGAAAAGTATTATTTAGACCCAATTGATGTTTTTGGTCAACTTTTTAACCAAAAATCTGATGTATATAGCTTTGGAGTTGTTCTTTTAGAGCTCATCACTTGGAAGACAGTGAGATACATGTACCATGGTAGGGCTCATGTGCTTACCACAGACTTCCTTGATTCTTATAGGAGAGACCGTAATGCAATTGGAATTTTTGGCAAGGTTTATGATTATTTTGATGAACATGAAGGGTACTTTGTTCATGAGGCCATTTCCATTGCCATCGATTGCTTACAACCTGATATTCAAATGAGGCCAGAAATGGATCATGTACTTTTCCGTCTCCGGATCATTGTTGCTAGAAGCAAACTTGCTGGTACGCGAAACAAATTCTCTTTTCATATTTGTCTGTCGGCCTTAACCTGGTAGATACACACATAAAAAGCAAATAAAACCTGTAGCACTTAAGGTTTAGGTATAACTTTCAGCACAATAAAATTTCACCCTTACCATATGCACCCTCCTTTGCTGAATTTTCGTTTGTAATTGTGTACCATGTATATAATTCAAAATATACTATTTGTTCTGCCATAGTGCTCTTCCAAAGAAGTGATAACCTTAACCTATTGTATTTACTTCTTAATGTTAAATATGTGTCGAATATTAGTTCAATTTGGTTACATTTTGGACTTGAGTTCAATTAGGGGTTAGGATAGAGTTTGAGTCGGACTTTGTAACCTAGGGGGACATAAAAAGTGAGGCCAATCCCTGTTATAACCAATGGGACAACTAACAGATGTCCAAACCTCGTTAAGAAAAATTTGTGCCTCAGTGTCGTTCTGGTTTGCGTATTTTCTTCTATCGTGTTTGTGCTTTCACGTTCTTTAGTAGATCCGCTACACTTCATTTTCTTCAATGCAGCTGGTAGTAAACTTCATCCAACTCTCATATCAACCATTTCCATGGAGGAACTGAATGAAGTAACCAAAAACTTCAATGATGATGTTCTTATAGGACAGGGACCATCCACCAAATGTTTCCTGGGAGTTCTTAAAGATGGGCAGAATTTTGCTGTAAAAAAGCTTGATATTTCTGAAGAAATTCAAGTAGAGGTCATGCCTGTGTGCCTTGCTTTTTTTTTTAACTTTTCCAGTTATTGTTCTTCATTTATTGTTGTGTACAACAAAGGATTACCTTGTAAATTATACTTCTGTTGCAGGTTCCGACCATTTTAAGAATGTGTTACCATGACAATGTTGTGCAATTTCTTGGATGTTTTCTTGAAGGGAAAACTCGTGTTCTTGCTTATGAGTACGCCCCAAAGGGCTCCTTAATGATATTCTTCATGGTATAATGGAGGAACACAAGATTTACTTCCATAAGTTCCTAGCGTGATCATCTGGCGTTTTCTTGTCAGACATAGGTCAATATTATGATCTATGTTAAAACTGTTAAACCACTTGCATCGACTGTATTCTTAGCCTGAATAATCTACAAACTATCAAACATGGAAACGCCAGCTGATATATTTTTCATGCTCGCCATGATCTTAGGTAAAAAGGGCATCAAGGGAGTCCAACCAGGACCACCTTTATCATGGTTGCAGCGTGTGAAGATCGCTGTAAGTGCTGCAAAAGGCCTCGAGTTCGTCCATGAGAAGGTTGATCCTCCCATCATCCACAGCAACATCAAGTCCAGCAAGATACTTCTCTTTGACAATGATGTTGCAAAAATAGGTGATATTGGTGTCTCAATACATCATGCCCCTAACAGGGCTGGTTACCTGGTTGAGACTGTTTGGGGTCCCCAGTACTGTTCTGGCTGGGGAGCACAAGCACCTAAGTATGTGATGGAATACTTGCACACTTCAGAATTACACTAATGCCTAGACAGATAAATGATATGCCAGGATTTCTGCTACTTAGGTGCTGCTTCCTTCTTTGAACTTGTTAGGTGCACAATCACAGGAGAGTATAGCAAAAAGAGCGATGTCTACAGCTTTGGGATTGTACTATTGGAGCTTTTAACTGGTCGCAAAGTAATTGATAATACAATGCCACATGACCAGAGGAGCCTAGTTACATGGGTACATATGCCAGCATTCACTTTTCTAGTTTCTGTATAGGATGCAGCAGCTAATTTGCTTATCCTAAGGTGCAGGCTACACCAAGGTTTAGTGAAGACAAGGTGGAACAGTGCATAGATCCAAGGCTTGGAGGAGTATACCCACTAAAGGCTGTCAGCAAGGTACCAATATTGTTAAGACTGGATGTTGTGTGCTCGAGTGAGCAAGTAGAGGTCTATACAGTGTGACTTGAACATAACCATCTTTTGACATTGGAAAAGGAAGACATAATCATTTTTCTATTTCTTCTTTTAAAAGGAATTTTTAGATCATGTTTGTTTGTCCTGCATTTAAGCTGAACTTATCCAGAAAATAGTATTTAGGGTCAGTGTGTCAGACAGATATAGCTTCTGCTCTCCACAATGACTCAAGCTTTACCCCTCCAAAGATATGGAGGAAACCTCAGTCAGCAATGGCTTGTGAATCTTGACACGAACCACCAACATAAAGCAAACAAACTTTCTGTTGATTTAAATATTCATATTATTTTAAAATAGATTATACACAGACACTTTAACTAGGGTACGACTTTTTATGGAGAAGGTACTCACCAAAATAAACTGAAAACCATAAGCAAATATTATTTGCCAAATTTGCTACTCTTTAGAGTTACAACTAATATTGGTATTTTGCATTAAAAGAGAACGATATATCCTTGTTCTGAAAGTAGTACTCTAAACAAACGAACTTTTATTTTATTGTGTGTGTGTAATTCTTGATTTACTTTGGCAAACAGATGGCTGCTGTTGCTGCACTGTGCTTGCGGCAGTGGGGGCCTGGGATGAACACCGTCGTCAAGGATCTGAGCCCGTTACTGGACAGCAGTAACCATCCCTGCATTGGTGAAGCACCTGCAATGTGATTTCAGTGCGTGTCATTGCGAGTTCAAGATCACATGATCAGGGGTTTGATGCAGGTGATTGGTGTGAAACAGAATTAAAGAAAGCTATCATTACTGCATTCCCCAAGGCTTGGAACTTTGCTTTGTTTTAATCTGTATATACGTATATGATCTAGACTTGTTACAATGGATCATCCTGGTGCGTATTTGTTTGGTCAGTTCTGAAACATGCAATGCTACGTGTAGCTTACATCTGTGTGCAAATGGTGAATCATATCCACGGCTCTGTAAATGCTGAATCATATTTTACGTCATTATTACTCAGATTCCTTATTATTACTATAAGTAAGAACAGGGGTCGCATGCTAGTATCCGATCCTACCGTACTTCTTTTTCTTGTCGTCCATGTCCTCACCTGACTACCATCATCGCCGGAATGCATTCACCCGGTGGTCGTCAAACAAAGGATGCAGCCCTGTTCGCTGATCTGAAACTTGGTTGAAACTGACGGAAAAACACTGTTCTGGCTAAAATGTTATGAGAGAAAATATTATTTCGGCTAAAAAAAGAAGCCGAACAAGCTAAATATCATACCAGCCAAACGAGGCCGCAGTTATCCCGCAACCCGTCGCGCGGTCAGGGAACGTGAACCCGTGTTCCTCTTTCTCCCGCACAAATATGTCAGGGAACGTGAACACTGTTCTGGGGTGGGCTGTGGGGGAGGGCCTGCGTCCCGCGCTCGGCGCTGAGCGCGACTGTGCGCACGTTAGAGTTTGCGCAAACAAAAATATACCACCATTGGATAACCTAGCCCAAACAACATATAAGCTCGTTCTCTCTTTCCCCCTCAAGGTGGACACTGTACAGTCGTTTTAGGTATAGTTTACTGCTTACTCAGAAGTCAGGACAAATTCTTTTTTTTTTTGAACTTGGAAGCATTTTTTTTTTTTGAGGAGAACTTGGAAGCATTATATAAGAAGCAGAGATTTGAAGTTTCGGTCAGACGGGCCTCGGGCCCATGGCCCACGAAGGCTTTGATGCGGTCCAGTCCGAATGTCCGATCTCCTATTGCACCGCCAAGGAGGCCTGCTAAACGAACAACGCTTCAGAGTCCAGACCAGACAGAAGTTTAATGGAAAGAAATCGCTTATGAGCATCGAGAGACAATCAAAAGAACAGATATGTCCCTGGCACCACAACACAACAGTCTAATATAAATTTGCTAAAAAAGAGTCTAATATAAAGATTAAAACATTCTTACAGCTTAGTGTCAACGCCAAATATGTCAAAGGCTGCAGCAGAAAATGTATGATAAGGAATGAACTTGACCACCAAACGATACCAGCTGTTCCCAAAAATAAACGGTACCAGCTAAATAGTGCTGTGGTCCACAACTCAAGACACCACATACTGGAATTATTGTCATTAGAGACGAAGAAGACAACAAGATCATCAAACATAATAACACGAAAAAACATCAATCATGAAACTCAATTATGAGGTCAGTGCAAAAGCAACCCATAGACTATTTTCTTGGGGCTTCAAGATTAAGGCGCAACAAGTGCCACTGTTTGCTCAAGATGGGGTACAATACAACCCAATTCTAAGGTGGAACAGAAGGGGATGTGATCTAAAATAAAATCATTGATCAAAGTTTCGTTCCTATAGCAAAATTTATTCAGTACAAAATAATACTCTACAAAACTAGTCCGAAATATTTGACTCCCCCTTCCTTTTTCCACCCCCCAAAAAACCTTCTTCGAGACAAGACGACGGACGCTAGGTCTTTAAAAATAATGAAACCACCCCGAAAACTACCTCTAATTAGGGCATAGATGTAATCTACGGGTTTTCTTATGTCCTAATCTATCTCTTAGATTTTTCTCAAAAATTTAGAAGCTCGAGATATTTTTCGTGGTTTAAAAATCTTATAACGTGTTTACCGAATTTTTTAATTAAAAAATGATGAAACCACATAGAAAACCACTTATAATTAGAGCAGTGAGGCAATTTAAATTTAAATGGTTTTTAGAGTTAACGAAGCAATTTCTTCGGTTTTAGAGTTAGGAGGAGAAACCTACAACTTCGGAGATATATAGTTAAGAGAAACAGAATCAGCTTTTCCTGAGGCACAACAGAATTAAATTAACGTGACCCGGCCCATCCGCCCATGTTACCCAGCAGAGCAGCCTTTTTTTATATATAAAAAAAGAATCGATCTACCCAACATCCGATTATTTTAGCTCATCCTAACGATCAGATTTTATTCATATACTTATATTGTCTTATTATTATATTTATATTATCTTATTACTATATTTATAATAATTTCTTTAGTGTAATTTATCGGACAGAGTTATGTAATTTGATAATAACACAAACATATGCCAAAATTTTCAAAAAAAATTATAATTTTTTTTATAAATTTCAGATATCAGATAAATATATATCAAATTATTCACAAATGTCAAATATCATATGCAATCCCGACTAGCCCCTACTGCCACGCCCACTACCCTCAGGTCGCATGGATCCTCTGCGCCCCGGTGCCACACCGACGGTCACGTTGCACCATCATGTTGCAGAATCATGTCACGGAGGATCCTGGGGAGCCCATCATGACGCAGACAATGACGTCGTGCCCGTCGCAGCACCAGCACGCGAGGGATAAGCGACACGTGTCAAATCCAATGGTCCAGAATTCGATTGTTGCATGGAGCCAAAACATCCGGTCGACGGATAGCAATTCTAAAAATAAAACATGCATGTCAAGTTGTCCACTGAAACAGACCAGAGCGGCTTCTCGGCCTCTTCCTCCGTTGACTTCCCGCGGTATCTGTACCTACGATCCCCGGTGCCCCGCCATTACCGAGGGGCGAGGTCCTCGTCGCGGACTCTCTGCGACTCTGCGCGTACGCGGAAGAAGCGATCGACTCCAATCAGCGAGCCTAGCGGTGGCGCCAAAGCGCGTATTAACTACTGCTGTACTGCTGCGACAGGTAGGCACCCTACACGTACTAATAAGGCTACTAGCTCATGCACCCATCCTAGCTGCTACTTCATCCTGCCTGTTTGCCGATCGGTTTCTGTACTGATTTAGACGGACTGGTGCTAGTTTATTATAAGAGAAAAATACTATTGGCTGACTAAATAAGCTCTGACTGAAACTAACGAGCGAACATGCTGATCATGGTGTGGTCACTGGTCAGTCGTCTCTGTCTCTCTCTGTTTTCTTGTTCTTGTTTCGGTTTCAGCTGATGATCCCTATTGTGAGCTAGTTTATGACGACTTCATTTCATAGATTGTACGTCCTAGTTTGAGAGGTCTTTGGCCTTGCATCCATGTATATATGTTGACCCAATTTCATTCATCTTCATCCTGTGAATTATGTTGACGGGGCCAGGGAGATGTCTGGGCCTAGCATCGAACTCATTCGTTCAGTTTAACCTTTAAGTTTTCTTGCACTCCCGATTGATTGAGATATATATGTATACTCCTGAACTGAAAGTAATCACGCCTACGACGACCGTCCCACAAGCTGGGTAGGTTCAGGTTGAGATTTTTTTTTTTTTTTGAGGTTTGTATTTCACTGTCTAGGCCCCGTCCAGTTTAAGATAACTTTGACACATCATTAAAGTGGTGAATCTTATTTGACAATATAACTAAAGCTTCTTATAAATGGTACTCTCCCTATTTTAAAATAAAGTTAGTTTGAGTTTATACTAAGTCCAATTACCTTAAGTTTATATTCCTGAATCTAAAAAATTTACCTTAAGTTTTACAAAAGTTATTGAGAAAAATATTAACATTTAGGACATCAAAGAGGTAATACATTTCATAGAGAACATAATGATACCCATTAGACATTATAAGTATTATTGTTTATATTTCCTCTAAACATGAACTTAAAGTCCATTTTAGGCTGTGATCCGTACGGATGAGTACGTCAGACCTAAAAGAAGGTTTTTTTCTCATATACCACCTTTGTCCTAACTATAATGCACTTTAGGAATTCTAGGTTATGTTATTGATGAACAAAAAGCGCATGTAATCATACCTTAATCATGGGTAGATATTATAATTATTATATTTAGATTGGTGATAGATATTATTAATGGTAGGTATATATGTGAATCATGTCTTTATAGACCGTATTGACAAGTTATTTTGCAAGAGTCTCTTGTAATTTGAGATAATTTTTGAACTCTCCTGTTTCAAATTATAAGTCGTTTTGACTTTTCTAGTTACATGGTTTTTCTATATAAATGTACTGTCTGCATA